GCGAGTCGGTAGTCATTCACACAGCACAACCCCTCCACTAGACGGCAGTATTCTATCATGTTTTATCACTGTAGAACCAAGGTTTAAGAGAGAGAGAGAGACCTCAAACTTTACCAGTAAATGCACATTTATGGATTGACAATCAGAAACTAGAAGCTAGACATTTTCTAAGATTCAAACCTGCAATCGTGCTGTTAATAGTGCCACGCTTTAGCAGTTGAACTACACAAGGCATGACTGGCATGGAATGTAAAAGCTTAATTCTCATGTTAATATGTATTGCATCTTTATTAGAGCTAAGCAGTCTTTGTCTGTGCGTGTGCACCTGTTTGCCCTCGAGCTCGATATGTTTCAGCTCCCAGAAGCAGCGCATGGTCTCGACCCTCTCCAGATAGTGGAAAAAGGCCAGTTTGGCCAGAATGATGCTTTCAGAGCACTGATGCACAAGCTTCAGTTTGGCCTGTTTGACTCTGCATGGCCTCGACCCTCTCCAGATAGTGGAAAAAGGCCAGTTTGGCCAGAATGATGCTTTCAGAGCACTGATGCGCACAAGCTTCAGTTTGGCCTGTTTGACTCGAGGAGATCCATCTGCAGTCTCTGTGTTTCTGAGCAGCACTGGCCTCTTTCCAGAGCTAGATGTGTAAAACAAAGAGTGAAATGAATTAGTACATAAATACATTTCTGCAACAGAAAGTAAATGTTTAACTGTGAAATGTATTTTGTTATTTAGATACACATACAGTAATATCAACTGGCAATAGACCACCAGGCTGTGGAAAGGTCTCTGGTTTGTAGTTAATTCACTCATTTGCACCAGATACCTTCAAGCCTTGTGTTCTATTAAAGGATTCCAGAATAGAAAAATCCTGATGATTACTCATTCCGTCTTAAAGGGAGAGTTCACCTTCAGTTGCTATGGAGAAGGGGAAAAAAACACTATGCAAGTCAATGGGGACCAGCAACTGAAAGTGAACTATCCCTTCAAGTCCCAAAGTAACATTTCAGGATTTTTCTCCATATAATGGACTTCAATGGGGACCAACGAAGGTCCAAATTGCAGTTTCAATGCAGCTTCAAAGCACTCTACATGATATATATTATTATATACATCAAAGAAACCTGAAAAAATTATACTCAGCTGTTTTCAACATAATAATAATAATACATTTTTCTTGAGCAGCAAATCAGAATATTAGAATGATTTCTGAAGGATCATGCGACTGGAGTAATGATGATGAAAATTCAGCTTTGAAATCACCGAAATAAATTAAATTTTAATGTATATTCAAATAGAAAGCAGTTATTTTAAAAAGTAAAAATAGTTCACAATATTACTGCTTTTGCTGTGTTTTGGATCAAATAAATGCAGGCTTGGTGAGCATAAGAGAATTATTTAAAAAACATGAAAAATCTTCCTGTTCAAAAACTTTTGACTGGTAGTGTATATTTCTCTAAAAAAGACAAGCTACTTAAAGCCAGAACATTTGCTGAAAACACACCTTATGAATGTGCAAAGTTGAGTTCTGTTTAATTCATTCAGCCTATTAGGCTTTTCCAAGACAGACAGATCAACACGATCATCTTTACTCTGGGACAGACCCACCTTTGATATTTTGTCACGTGTGGAGTGTATGTGTAAGTGTGGAGTAAGTGTCAGACGTGCCCTTGTTATCACGGCCTCATTCCCATGATTTATAAGTGGTTTGGATTGGTGAGTAGGACAAACAGTTGTCTGAACCAGCTGTGAAGTGCTGCAGATCAGGTTTTAGGGCCCTCAGGGGTCAAACTCAGTAAACACAGACGGTGCTGAGTTTCGCTGAACCGAACGCTCTCATTGTTTTACGAGTTTTCTCAGTCTGAAGAACAGCATGTGACTTACTGATGAGTGTAAAACTATCGATCTGTGCTGTTTTCAGCTGATGCGTGAACAAAACGTCACCAAACATTATTCGTAGCGCGCGTCTAGGGCTGGGGGATATAGTTAAAACATGTATCATGATTGAATGTTTCATCTCATTCGATTGAATTTTTTTATACCCTTTTTTTAAACAGAGCAGTAGAAAAAAAAAATTAAATTTAACCACTGTATTTTTACAGTTTAGTAAAACGACAACTAATTTTAGTTTTAACAGTCAAACGCAAAATAAAATTGAAGCAAATATCTCCTTTCTTATATTTTATATGCAGATTAAATAAGTAAGGAAACTTTTGGCCTGTCTCCTGAGGCCACAATGAGCAAAATAGTGCACCTCATTAAACTGTTTATTCAATGCGATGAAATAAGACTGTCTAATCAATCTAATCCTTTGGTTTCCTCCAATATTCAAACTAGAGGTCGATCAATAATGGATACATTTATCTTGAAAATTGAGTTACAGTTCATGTTTCAGCTCCATTAGATGTTGACAGTTGTCCTACACTCTTATCTACAAGCAACCAATATTATGTGTTGTATATTAACATATTCTTTACTTAAAACCAAGTTTTATCTTTCTTTTTCTACACTCAAGATGTTACCAGTCATTAAAGAGATGATTCACCCAAATATGAAAATCTGTCGTCGTTTACTCACCATCATGTCATTCCAAACCTGTAGGGCTTTTGATTCTTCAATGAAAGTAGATGAAGCCAACATTACAGTTCTCTTTCCATTCAGTTCACTCAACATTGCATCAAGTAGCTGATGCTGTGAGGGAAACAAACTTTCCTTTAACTTCAACTTCAGCAACACGAAAGAATGCTGAAAATCCCCAATATACAGTCACTAAATGTCATTAAAATACCCATGATGCAATGCATATTACAGTAGTGAACCATAAAAATAATTTTATTGGGCATTTTGCAGTAAGTAACTTTAGAAATTACAGCAACCATTTACCAATAACATTTTGTTTACTGATTTAAAGAAAATAAAGTGTGAGGAACTTGGTACATGGTACAAATCCATCCAATGGTAAACTTTTAAATATTCCAGTAGCACTTTCACTATTAACTATTAACAGTTTTTCTTAATTGTCTGCTTATTAAAAGTAAGGAAGGTAGTTGTAGTAGTTGAGCTGATGACCTGAATCAAAAACTGAGAAATGCAATTTTTTTTAAAGTCAATTTAAAAGCCATTTCTGAAAGCAGACAAAGCCAGTGACTAGTTCTCACAGTCAAAAACCATTCAAACTCAATGACACTTTGATGAAAACTGAAAGCTTGCTCCATAATTCAGGCTTCAAAGTCTTTGATTCTGCTTTGTATTTCCCCTATTGAAAGTCTATCAGATTACTGCAATCACGAGTAAAACCATGCATGGCTCTTTATTAGCATGAGTGAAAGATGGTATAACGTCTATGTTTCTAAACATCTAAAAACTATAGACCAGTTTGGAGTAGACGTCACTTGCAGCTGCGCGCGGATTGTGGTGTCAGAAAAACACTGGGAACAAGTGGAGGGAAACGGGTAAAATCCATGGAATAAGAGAAAAAAATGTATCGTTGTGCTTTTGGATGTCAGAATCAGAATGCAAATCATTTTTATAGAATACGGTCATCAAAGACGCTTAGATGGACAAGCTATGGATGAAACCTGCTAGGATTACCCTACTTTAAAGCATACATTAGATTTAAACAACAGGTCTATATAATATTCACATAGGGGACATATTGCAGTAGCCCTAGTTAAAGCATGAAATACTATTTAAACCTATAACATTTACATGTTTTATCTCACGCTTCTGACTTTTTTTCTTGCAAATGCAAGTTTATATCTCCTAGTTCGGGCTGTATAACTCGATTTAACTCAACAATCACGAGTTTGTCAATTCTGAGGGAAAAAAGCTAGAAGTGTGGGATTATAAACTCATGATTCTGAACCCGAGGCGAAAAGAGAGAACGACGAGTTGAGTTTTCTTATTAGAATTGTGAGATAAAATCTCGGAATTGCGAGAAAAAAGTCAGAATTTTGAAATATAAACTCAAAATTACCTTTTTTATTCTTTTATTCCATGGCTTGCATAGACTGCCATGTTAAAACTTGCATTTTCTGCCACCAGATAGACTCCGCCCACAAAAAAAAACCTGTCATGACTGTTTGCAAACACTGAAATGGGTCTGTAAATACAAGCTATGTTTCCATCCACCTATTTTTATGCGCATTTTGGATTATCGCATAAAAACCGCTGGATGGAAACGCCAAGATGCGCATAAATTCAAAAAATGCGCATAAAAAACTTATGCACACAACTGAGTACGATAAACGTTTTATCCGATAAGCATAAATGCACATAAACTACGATGGAAACACATTTAACGAATAAATTCCACCATGCGCATTGAAAAAGTCATGTGACTTTGCAGACAGGATAGCTTGACTAATTTTTAGTGGACCGATCTCGTTCACAGCATCTATATGTTGTTCTGGTCGTTCTGAAATGCCTGAGGAAAGTCTGTCATCAAAGTATTTCTGTATAATTACTGTCTTACACGACTGCGTTCCCAAACAGCAGGCATCCACCTCTAAAAGCAATGACCGCATTAATTGTATTACGTCTGCTCTCTCTGAAGGGCAAGTAATTAGTTACATATGGAAATGATTATATTCAGTGGCTTCTCCTAGTTTTCTTAGAGATATTTAGTGCCAGTTTATCACGAAGTGACGGTTTTGTTCTCTTTGACTCGTTGGATGTAAACGGTGCTTTATTCGCAAATGTTTTATGCGATATTCCAGTTTTGCGCTTAAGTTAAATTCGCATCTTTGGATGGAAACATAGCGTTAAAGTGGATTTGTAGTGTCAGATTTTCACAGGGACTTTCTAACAGACTTTTGTTAAGAATTTAAAGCACTTCACACTATATGAATATAAAAATAAATCACGCTGCATGGTCAAAGCTAGTTTGCACACTATCTAGTGAGTCACAGAACAATACTACAGGTGCAGTCCTTCACACTATATGAATATCATAATTGTGTGCAAATAAATCACGCTGCATGCGCAAAACTAGTTTGCACACTATCTAGTGAGTCACAGAACAATACTACAGGTGCAGTCAGGAGCCCTAGTAATTGCTCTCTGCTCACTGAGACAGCAGCTTCTGGCAGCATTTGTTTCTATGTCTGAGTAGAGTATTAGATGCCGTGAAACTCCTCATACATAAAGCGCAGTGAAACGGCTTCTCTCCAGTATGCATTCTCTCGTGTCTCTTCAAAGTGCTGGAATGAGTGAAACGCCTCCCGCAGTGAGCACACGCGTACGGTTTCTCTCCAGTGTGAGTCCTCTGGTGCTCTTTCAAGAAGGTGATCGTGGAGAACACATTTCCACACTCGGAGCACACGTGAGCTCTCACACCAGTGTGTATTTTCTCGTGCTTCTTCAAATATTCCAGCATGGAAAAAGTCTTCCCGCAAAAACAGCACGGGTACGACTTCTCATCCGCGTGGATTTTCACGTGCCTTTTTAGCTGTAATGCAGAAGTGAATTTTTTCCCACACTGACGGCAGTCGAACGGTCGTTCTTGGGAATGCGAGTGCTGATGGATCCGGAGATACGCCGCTTTCGTGAAACTCTTCCCGCACTGAAGGCACATGAAGGGCTTTTCTCCGGAATGAATGCGCAGGTGATTCTTCAGGATGGCTTTACGTGTGAAACTCTTCCCACACTGAGGGCACATGAACAATCGTTGTCCGGTGTGGATCCGTATGTGATCCTTAAGGGTTCCTTTGTGCAAAAAACTCTTTCCACACTGTAAGCAGATGAAAGGCCGTTCGCCAGAGTGAGTTCTGATGTGGTTTCTCAGCTGGCCTTTTTGCGTGAAACTCCGTCCGCACTCTTGGCACGCGTGAGGCTTTTCTCCGGTGTGAATTCGGATGTGATTCTTAAGCTGGCCTTTTTGCGTAAAGCTCTTTCCACACTGCTGGCACGCGAATGGTTTCTCTCCGGTGTGAATTCTCATGTGCTCCTTCAGGTTTGTTTTCTGTGTGAAATCCTTTCCGCACTGAATGCACCCGAAAGGCCTCGCTCCGATGTGGATGCGTATGTGATCCTTCAGGTGAGCTTTCTGTGTGAAACTCTTCCCACACTGAGGACAGATGAAAGAGTCTTGTGTTTTGTGATCCTGATATCGATGCACTTCAGTCAGTTCTTCACTTTCTTCTTTCACTTCCATCAGGTCTGAAATTAAATTATATAAAACTGACTGTGATCTTTGATGTGTGAATGGTACTGTGCATGCATTAAATGGACTCACTGAGAGGATACCGAGAGACCAGACATAATCAAGTTCTCACGCTATTCTTCTGCCATGACATTGCTATTTCAGGTAAGGTCTAAAGGAAGGTATCTCTGAACGAAGTCTCTGTCATCCTTTCAGGAATGTAGTACGAAAGTGAATAGGAGGCACAACAGTGCCAGTATAACCACAGTTATTAATGGGAACAGGATGCTGTAATCACATGACTAAAAATGCTCAGTTTTCACAGGCCGAAACATAAAGAAAAATATGTATTTTCAAATGTATTTGGATTTATGTAGGCGTACACACTTAATGTGATAAAAAATAATACATAATAATCATTATAATCATAACAATACATAATAAACAGTATAATCATGCCTTACTCCATGAAAAAGTAACTAATTTTGTTACAAACTTACTTTTTATGCAAAGTAAGTAATCATTACATTACTTTTACGTTACTTTTTGTCACCTGGGCTGGACTTGCTTATTTGTTTTTTTTCTTGATTAAATATATATATATATATATATATATATATATATATATATATATATATATATATATATATATATATATATATATATATATATATATATATATATATATATATATATATATATATATATATATATATATATATATATATATATATATATATATATATATATATATATATATATATATATATATATATATATATATATATATATATATATATATATATATATATATATATATATATATATATATATATATATATATATATATATATATATATATATATATATATATATATATATATATATATATATATATATATATATATATATATATATATATATATATATATATATATATATATATATATATATATATATATATATATATATATATATATATATATATATATATATATATATATATATATATATATATATATATATATATATATATATATATATATATATATATATATATATATATATATATATATATATATATATATATATATATATATATATATATATATATATATATATATTAAATAGGCTATATAGGCCTATATATTATTTTTTTCCTACAAAGTGAAATTAATAAGCCTTTCATTGTTAATTTAAAAATAATGCATTACTTTACTAGTTCCTTTAAAAAGTAATCTGATTATGTAACTCGCGTTACTTGAGTATAATCAAACTGTTGCACCCAAATTTCACATCTTTTCCCCCTTAAAAGACTGTGTCTGTAATATAAAGCATAAAACAAATCAAGATTACTTCTCTTATGACATCTAGTTTTATTGGATAAGTTTGTGTGCAAAGGGAAAAAGATGAGTGTAAAACTAATGAATGAATGAATGTTGAAGCAAATATGTGCAGAATAGAGATGAAGAACATTGATGAAGGTAAAGTGTATCACACCGAGTAGAAGAATACGTGTTTTTTATAGTCATTTGCACGTACACTTAAAAATGCCTAATTACTGATAAATTTGACAACCTAAACGTGTTTGTAGTTTTATGCATTATGATTTGGCACTAATGGACTTGCCACTGCTCATGAACAGAGCTTAATGCATTCATACTTTTTTATTTTAAAATGTTTTATTTTTCCTAATAGGTGATATAGTAACTAAGTGTCATTTAAGTTAATATTTTCAGCAGGGAAGCTGCTTACTGAAGATAGTCAGATTAGAAATGATACGGATAACACACATCACTCACTTTAAAACGCTACTACATGGTTTAAAAATTCCAATGCAATACTGTGAAGAAGACTGCAAGGTTGTTACCTATAGGCTTGCTTTCCTCCTCGCCGTCCATAGCTGTTCTAGATCAGAAAACACAACAGAGAGAGAGGAGCTTGAGTCAGATGGAGCTCCACAGACACACATCTGCTTCTTCTCTCGTGTGGACTGTCAGACTGAACGCCATTCAGCGCATTACCGCCATCTACAGCCTTCTTCTTCTTCTTCTTCTTCTTCCGTTTTTTGGCGTGTTACATCCTGTGTGCATATCGCCACCTACTTTTGCTGTTATGCAGTCATGGTTTATTTATTATCAATTTATTCCTTGTTTTTGCTTTTCCTGTTCTTACATCTACAGCCTTTAGACGCCTCGGAACCTTTCAACTTTTGTCTTGAGAATCAAAGCACGCAGTGATTTGCTGTTTCGATGTGCTCGCGGAGGATATCTGCTGGTTAAAGCCTGTAAATGCAACGAGGACGCAGCAAAACATGTGCTATGATGCTGATGCAATGAATGAACGAACAAATTAATGAATGAATGCACTTTTGAAGGCATATTTTTCTCACCCAGTTGAAAATATAGCTCATACTTTATTTGAAGGTTCAGTTCTCACTATTAACTAACTATAAACTATGAATTTTGCCTCAATAAACTCCTATTCTAGACAGCACACGTACGTCTGCAAGAGGTCTGTTAAAGATCACTTCATCTGGAAAGCATCTGCTCTGTACAAACATCTCTAAGATGTCAATTTTACATGCATCCTAAATCATAAACATCTTAAAGACATCTTCTGAACGTCTATTTGACGTCTCCGTGATGCATGTGTGGTATTTGCTGCTTATTAATAGTTAATTAATAGCACTCGTACATCACAGAGACGTCTATTTGTCGTCTGCATTTACATCTGCGAGACGTATTTTTTAGTGTTTGCTCATCTGCACTACGTCTATAGGAACGTTTAGAAAGTGTCTTTAAGATGTTTATGTTTTAGAATGTATGTTAAACTGACATCTTAGAGACGTCTATCAGATGTTTGTATACAGATGCTTTCCAGATGCAGCGATCTTTAACAGACATCTTGCAGACGTACGTGTGCTATCTGGGTAGTTAGGTAGTTGTTAAGTTTAGGTATTGGGTAGGATTAGGGATGTAGAATATGGTCATGCAGAATCTGTGCTTCATAAGTACTAATAAACAGCCAATATGCATGCTAGTAAGCAACTAGTTAATAGTGAAAACTTTTATTATTATTATTATTATTGATCAGCACTGAAATACTCAGACCAGTCACTTAAATCACCTTGTTTTGCCCATTCTGATGTTCGGTTAGAAGGTTTTTTTGACCATGTCAGCATGCCTAAATGCCATGTGATTGGCTGATTAGTTATTTGTGTTAATGAGCAGTTGAACAGCTTTACCTAATAAAGTGGCTGGTGAGTGTGTATAACCTACATGCAAGATTTAATGCACTTTAACTTGTAGCAGCCAAATATTAGTCTATACATGACTAAAAATTTGTGTGTGGGGGTGGGGATAACTTTGTCCACATAAAATTATAGCTATTAGGTAAGCCATAGCAATGCAAAGGAGTTTTATTCCATGTTTAAAATTGTATTGTCTTTCATCACCACAAAATGCTATTAAACACAATGCATAAACTGAAATGTAGTGTAAAAATACAGGCAAGCATTCTGATGCCAACTTAGATGAGCTCAATAACACAGCAGAAGTTTTCAGAATTGCTAAATTGTCATTTGATTCTTTGATACAATGCAATTGTTATATCTTTAATAGGACCATGAAATGAAAACTACCACAGATGTGCCATGAAAATATATGCAATGCAGCAGCTGGTTAAAGTGAGTTGGTTATGCTGTAATATAACAGCATTTCTTCCAAAGATCTCCATGTGAAATGTCTGCGTCAGATACTCCTTGCCTCTGGAAGCAAAGAACACAAAGCAGACACTGAGTTTGCTGTTCAATCAAAACACAATGTTGTCATGTTGCTTTAATCGTGATATTAAACCAACCAGCTATGCTGCTACATATTGCGTGCGGCGCTGCATGTGTTCAACAGCACGTCTCCTGTGGAAGAGTAAGCGCTCAGATCCTCCGCTCTATATAGAGAATCAGGTCTGCAGACACACAAACACACACATGAGCTGACACTGAACACACACTTTCACTGACAATGTAAATATAGGTTTATGAGGCCATTTAAGCAAGTGGAGACACAGAAAGTTCAATAAATGTTGCAAATAATGACCTCCTCAGATAAAGGTTGGAGATGCAGCCCTTAAAAGTGTCTTTGCCCAGGATCACGCTGGACGAATACAGTCCAGATGAAGAGCCCGTCACTCTCTGGCCAACATCTTCTTCATCGATTCGAAGTTCAGTGCTAAAACAAAGGTGAACATCAGTATGAAAAAAAAAAATTTGGAAAACTTATTTACACTTCAAATGCTTATAATTACATGTGTCTGCATTTATAAATATATGGAGAATTGTTTGCATTCTAAACCATTATTTAATTTAATGAGCCCCATTGGCTACAACTTGTGTTTTCATTGTTATTTTCCACCAAAAGTGAATGTTACAAAATGCAAATGTTACTGTTGTACGTTGTCAAATCATATTAATTACTGCAATCGGGCAAAACTATATAACAACTTCAAATGATCTGTTTTCCCAGGCCAATGAATCTTACCGTTGGCCCTGTCCAGAAACAGTGAGATAATGCCATTCTCCATCCCTGTACTGCTTAGTAGATTTCCAGACGCTGCCTTGGAATTTCAGGAGCACATATCCGTTCTCCATGGAAAGCTCAATGTCTTTATTCTGCCACAGAGAGATCACAGAGCCAATGATAAATACACAATGAGACGTGATATGCAAGTCTTCTATAAAAGCACACTGTGATATAGGATTATTTTGTTTAAAACTCATATAAAATAGAAAGCTTAACAAATAAAAATTAAAAAAAAGTTAGAAGAAAATGTAGTCACATTCTATATTTTAGAGATATTTAAGAGATATTAAGAGGGATAGAAATTATTTGGTACAATTTCTAATTATCTAATTTGTGTCACTTGGCATATGAATTTGAAAGGGTCAGATTATCTTGCACAAGACACCCCACACAGCAAAAAAATAAATAAATAAAAAAGAATAATAATATTTTGCCTCTGGCCAATATACAGTATATATATATATAGTATGTTTGTGTGTGTGTGTGTGTCTGTGTCTGTGTGTGTGTGTGTGTGTGTAATATTGTAGTTTTTTGGAACATTGTAAAGTATGTTTCCATACATGCTATATACAACAAATAAAGTATTTCTTCAAATGTGACTAATGCTAATGTATTTTCTTGGACTGAAATATATGGAGGGCAAAATACCTTTTTAAATGCCTTAAAAAAATATTTATATTTTTGAAATATATTTTCAAAAATATACAAAAAATGGCCAAAAATGTATTGGTATAACATATATTTTGAAATCTATCTATCTATCTATCTATCTATCTATCTTGACCATATAGTGTGTGTAACTGTGGAAGAGATCCGCACATTTTTGCTGTTCTGCAGCAGGATGCCGTCTGGTTTTGTACTCCTGAAGCCCAGAGAAAGACTGACATCGTCCAAGCTGAAGTCTTCATGGAGTTTCTCCAATGCACTGCCGAGGCTGAATTCAGCTTTCCTCACCATCTGGAAAAGAGCACGATGGATAAGAAATGACACCTTTCTGAGTTTCATCTGGGTGAATGCTGAAGAAACCAAGCTAGCATATTACCTTTAAAGGTAAATATAAATAATGAAAGATTAACTGGATTACCAGTAGCTCATTAGTGCAGCCTCTGCCGATGCCCACTTTCTCTTCAACGCTTGGGGTGGGGCCGCCGGCGGTGCCGATTTTCACACAGCCTTTCAGAGCCGGGATAGTGATGTTGTATCTATAATAAAGTAATTCGGAATTAATAAACCATCATACGATTGTTCTGAAAAGGTCTGAATCACATTTACTTGTTCTGGGTCATGAACTGAGAAATCAAATTTCCCTCGATGTTTTGACATATAACAGGTAAGTTGTGAAAAACAGTATATTAATTGCCTTCCTTGTGATCTTAACACCGTATCTGCATCAGATGCGAGCGTCGTTGCGTCACGTCGCGCATGCGTTTCTCTTTCATGTCGCAAGCAGCGTGAGCGCTTGGAGTACATCAGAAATATGTATGTAGAAATATATATTTGTACGCTGTTATGGATGTTTATCTACATTCTCTCTGTATCTTTAATGTAACTTTGTCAGTGGTCTCTGTATATTACTCTCAGCTCTTGATTTGAGTTCTGTCTTCTGGTATTGATGTTTATTTGTTTCTGTTCCTTAAACCTGACTTGTAAAGTGACCTTGGGTGTTGGAAAGGCGCTATATAAATACAAATTATTATTATTATTATTAGAAATAGAGTGGGACATCAGTTTACTGTCGGCAGTATTGCGGGTAATGCAGGTTATGCTATCAGATCACTTTTGCAAGTAACTAGTAAAGTAACGCATTACTTTTTTTAGTTTAGAATGTTGTCATTCATGTATATAATGCAATTTTATTAAACAATGTCTTTGCTGCTGACCTTCAGTGATCACATTTGCCAAAAATACAACTTTTTTATATTAAAAACAAACAAGCAAGCCCAGCCCCGACGAGAAAAAGTAATGCAAAAGTAACTTAACTCATTACTTTCCATAAAAAGTAACTAAGTAACGTAATTAGTTACTTTTTTAGGCAGTTACACAATATCGTAATGCATTCCTTTTAAAAGAAACGTCCCCAACACTGACTGTCAGGGATTTGTTGTGTCAATCCACGTCACATCCAGTGTGGACAGAATCACTGATTATAATGGGTTCTGTTGTGTTTAGGAAAGAGCTCCCAATCGTGTCAGTGAAACACTGCTTGTTTGTTTGCTTCATTTTACTGTGGACTTGTTTTTAAACATGACAGTTCGACACAGGCTTTACAGAGAGACTGAAATGAAAAAAAAAGATGATGCAGTGCTGAGTCAGACTATATTGGATCCAATGTCGCAACACATAAGCGTGAGTAACTGTGTTTTTACCACTACTGCATCATCTGCTCCTGATTGTTTGATGTGTCCTAATAATTTATATGTTTTTAACCCAAATGACCCATGTTGATTGCAGA